TGGGGGGGCAGAGAACACGTGGGGAGTATATTTCTGCTTCCCCAAGATCCTCACTTCCTGTACTGCTGACACCACCACACCATAAAATATAGGGGCAGCCTCCTAGGGTTCCAGTGCTACTCTTCCTGTTTCCCCAAGATTTATGTTGACATCTGTATGTCCACTGGTGACACTTAACCGGAGCTTCTAACATAGCCTCCAAACAGGTCAGAGTTCCCAGAAAACCAACGGCCAAGACTGAATTCAGTGTTCTCAAAGATACTGCATGTCCCCGGCCGTAGCATTTCCATGAGTGTGTCAGTCAGATCTACAATATATTGCCAAAAGTATTGGGACGCCCCTTCAAATCATTGGATTCAGGTGTTCCGTGACATTTCCTTACTTATAAACATTCCGCGTTCACCTGTTACTGGTATTATAACAAAGTGGAAGCAACTGGGAACAACAGCAACTCAGCCAGGAAGTGGTCGGCCTCATAACATGACAGAGCGAGGTCAGCGCATGCTGAAGCGCACAGTGCGCAGAAGTCGCCAACTGTATGCAGAGTCAATAGCTACAGACCTCCAAACTTCGTGTGGCCTTCAGATTGGCACAACAACAGTGCGTAGAGAGCTTCATGGAATGGGTTTCCATGGCCGAGCAGCTGCATCCAAGCCTTACATCACCAAGTGCAATGCAAAGCGTGGGATGCCGTGGTGTAAAGCACGCCGCCACTGGACTCTAGAGAAGTGGAGACGCGTTCTCTGGAGCGACCAATCCCATCAATCCGAAGGTGGAACAGTTCGATTCTGAAGTTCTCCCAGATGTCCAAGCTGTATCATCTCAAGGAGACCCTACTAAGCCCACAGAGGAACCAAAAAGGAACGTTCCCAAGCCACGCAGATTCTAGACGTTCTTCAACTTCCACATTATCATGAACTATCCCCGGTGATTATACCATTTCAAAAGACCTACCACTTATAACTCCGCAGCTCTGAGGAAAGGGGCGTTTTATTGCCAAAACTTGTACCCTTGGACGTTTGTTTGGTGCTCCCATTAGACTGCATATAGGTGGATCCTCAACCTTTGGTCTCCCTCACACTCCAAGTGGTGTCCCCATTTTGTGGAGTGCTGCCTATCTAGAGCTACTGTGATAATTCGACTAACCTCTGAATTTGGATACGTTAGGGCAGAGACATAGACTCGCCAGTCTGATTTTATTACGAAAACTTTATTATAGCTCCCCGTAGACGTTTTTCATTCTTGCGTCAGTATGAACGGTCTAACTGCCTCTTAACACAGTGAAGATGCTTATGTCATCATTTTCAGTTGTCACCTATGAAACACAGCACAGTATAATGGTTAAAAGTCATAACAGTGATGCCTTACTGAGGCCTTCTTAGAAGAATTTAGGTCCACCGTACAAAAAGTCCATCACCGATGAAGGAAAAACATGATTACAGACCACCTTTGGCTGAAGCAGATCTGTCATTCACCCAGAGCGAGTGGTCCTACCATGGTAAGAACTAATAAATGTAGCAAAGCCAGCCTCTAAGTGTCTATAGCCAATTTTTAGAAGGTTAGGTTGAGCAGTAGGGACTGGCACTTGTTTCAAACAGGCCGCATGGCTTCTTCGGTTCAAGACAAGCCTCATGGGTGTAGTGTAGGTCTTGTGAATTGGAGGACACCAGGGAGGTGTTCCACGTGTGGGACATGCTTTGTTTGAGGAAGTTCTATTGAGTACGTAATAGGGTATACGAGTTTAGGAAAAGCCCTCATGGCATGGACTTATGGGATGAGCTTTGGGTGTATATGACAAGGCTCTTCCACTGGGACAAGCCATGTTGACATAACCTTGGCCTTGTGAATTTGCTACAAAATTTGCAGACTGGACACATGGCTATGGGATGAGCCTTGGGTGTATATGACTGGGCTCTTCCACTGGGACAAACCATATTGAGAAAACGTTGGCCTTCTGAATTTGCTACAAAATTGACAGACTGGACTTATGGCTATGGGATGAGCTTTGGAAGTATATGATTGGTTGCTTCCACTGGGACAAGCCTGGCCAGCCCATGCTGAGATAAAGTTGGCCTTGTGAAGTCGCTACAAAATCCACAACCTGGACGCAAGGCTATGGGATGAGCTTTGGGAGTATATGACTGGGCTGTTCCACTGGGAGAAGCCTGGCCAGGCTGTGTTGAGATAATGTTGGCCTTCTGAATTTGCTCCAAAATTCACAGACTGGACTTATGGCTATGGATTGAGCTTTGGGAGTATATGACTGGGCTCTTCCACTGGAACAAACCTGGCCAGGCCATCAAGAGATAACGATGGCCTTCTGAATTTGCAGCAAAATTTGCAGACTAGACTTATGGCTTTGGGAGTATATGACTGGGCTCTTCCACTGGAACAAGCCTGGCCAGGCCATGTTGAGATAATGTTGGCCTTGTGAATATGCTACAAAATTCACAGGCTGGACTTATGTTTATGGATTGAGCTTTGGAAGTATATGACTGGGCTTTTCCACTCGGACAAGCCATGTTGAGATAACGTTGGCCTTGTGATTTTGCTACAAAAGTAACGGCCTGTACTTATGGCTATGGAATAAGCTTTTGGAGTATCCAAACTGGGCCTTTCCAGTGGGACAAGCTTGGACAGGCCATGTTGAGATAACGTTGGCCTTGTGAATGTGCTACAAACTTTAGAGACTATGGGTTAATAGGTGACTTAGAGAAGTCCTGGTACAGGTCAAATGAGAGCAAATGGGCCCTACAACCATATGATTCTCTTAGGACTATTTAAGGTCATTGGTTCCACGCACAACGCTAGAATGTAGAGTGGCTGAGTCAAAGAAAATGACCACCTTCTCCGTCCACACGTGGTCTCTGCCCTATGCTTTACATATCTGACTATTCACTCTTCATGGAAAGCAAACCCATACTATTCCATGACCTATTTTCCGCACACCCATTGAGGTTGAGCTATCTACTGTTTGTGAGTTCTCTGATGTCGGACAAGATCAGACTTTTGTGTAAAACTCCTGCTGCAATCAGGGCAGGGAAAGGGTTTCTCGCCCCTGTGGAGTCTCTGGTGATATATCAGACTGGCCTTCTGCATGAAGCTCCTGCCACACTCCGTGCAGAAGAATGGCCGCTCCCCGGTGTGGACCCTTTGGTGGTTGATGAGCATCGTCCTGTGCGCAAAGCGCTTGCTGCAGTCCGTGCAGGCAAAAGGCTTCTCACCGGTGTGAATTCTCTGGTGGGTGACCAGGTCGGACTTGCCGATGAAGGACTTCCCACACTCGTCGCAGGAGAAGGGCTTGTCACCGACGTGAATTCGGAGGTGGTAGACCAGATCCGACCTTTGCACAAAGCATTTTCCACATTCAGGGCATGGGAAAGGGTTCTCGTCGGTATGTATCCTCCTGTGTCGGATCAGCACTGACTTTCGGGTGAATTTTTTCCCACAGTCCGAACAAGGGAAGGGCTTTTCACCCGCATGAACGTTTTTGTGTAGGGCCAGGTCCGACTTCTGTGTGAAACATCTGTCGCAGTGCGGACACGCGAACGGCTTTTCTCCTGTGTGGATCCTTCGATGCCTTGCTAGATCTGACTTCTGGGTGAAGGCCCTCCCGCAGTCTGGACAGCAAAACGGCTTTTCGCCAGTGTGAATGCGCCGGTGCGCTATAAGATTGGCCTTGTGGCTAAGGTTCTTCCCGCAGTCGGGACAGGGGAAGACTTTTTTGCGTCTACAGTTAGTCGGAGGAGCAACAGGACTGGGGAGTTCGATGGGGTTAGTGGGGATGGGCAAAATGCTGGCAGAGCAAAGGACGATCTGGATATTCGGGGAGACCTGGTCTTCTTGAGGGGTGACCAGAGTGATGTCACTGTTCTCTGTTTTACAGTCTGGAGATGAGGCAAGGTACACCTCCAAGATGTCCTCTTCTTTGTGTCCATCTGCGGGGAAACAAGGTGGAATGTAAATGCAACTGCGTTTCCCTGCAATTTTTGTGGCCCAATTTTGGCCAACCCTGCCATCTACTAGATACCTGTGGCTATATTAAACAACGTTTTTGGATGCCATCACTGAAGATTACCTTCTCTACTTCTCCAACTTTATCTTATTTTCATCTAACAAGGCTTCTGTTGAGTTCACCAAGTAATCATCTTACCAGTCCTGAGGTCTACTGAAGCCACCTCTTCCTTCACGGTCACTGGTATCGCAATCTCCTCTTCTTTAACAATGATGTTAAGTTCACGCAAGTCCACTGCATCGTTCCACGAATCAGGACTAGGGCATCTGTCTGGTGGGTTCTGGTCACTTGATCCATCTTTAGGAAACAAACACAATAATTGAATTAATTGTTTGTACGTGTTTATCAGATGATAGGAGAATTAGGTGGACCCTCCATAAGTCTCCTCTTACCCGGTGATGCGAGTGGTGGCTGATTCTCCATCACAGAGTCCTTGCACTGAACCTTGTGTTCTTCCAGATACTCCCACTCCTTCATGGAGAGAGACAACAACCTCCTGACACCTTATAGGAACCTGAAACACACAATGATACAGTCACCATCCAAACACATCCCTTGTCTGACTATCAACAGACAGTTAACGCCCTCCAGGTAAGCAGTTACCTAAACCCTCCAGGTTTAAATAGAGGAGGCCCTCTGCAAGTTCTAAGTTGGAGAGCATACACAGGGCTGAGGGCTGACCCCATGTGGCAATGCTGAGTGCCTGAACACCCAATCACTAAGCACCACTGCTATCATATGGAGGAAGGTGAGGGGAGAGATACATGCTCTTTGACCCCTTAAACCAATTGAGCAAATGTAGGCCAGAAGGAGACCAGCTGCAGGCCATATAAAGATTAGAAGGAGGACAACTGCAGGTCAAATGCTCCTGTCAATGAATTCTGAATGATCTCAGAAGCTTCTCAAACTGCTGCCATTGACACCAGCCCACTGCCCGTTGGACGCAGGTATTATTCACGTGTTGATGGAAATACAAGGTTCCTACTTGTATTTCCACATGAACGGCCTCACAAGTGGTCCTTACTACTCAAAGCATTCCCAAAACATCCGAGTTGTGACTTCCTCCTCTACAAAGCATAGTGACTGATACTACTGTTACTACTTGGCAATTAAATCACAACAGCTGTGCTTCAGATACCACAGCTATGGCCATCAGCCTCCTCACTCACCAGATACATAGGACCAACATTTCTGAAGGTGAGCGTCCTGAACACCAGATATAGAAGACCAACATTTCTGAAGCTCAGCCTTCTGACCACCAGATGGAGGGTCTACACAATACACAACACCCCACCAGCCACATCATATATCATAATAACCATATAAAGCCCCAGAACCCCACTGATCATACAGCACAGCTCTCACCTGAACACTCCCACCGGAAAAAAAACAACCCCGCCCCCCTCCAGCACTGATTGGAAGAAGGAAGACACACACACAGCACACAGAAATGTCTCCAGTGCAGATAGGCGGCCATGTTGTTGTAGCCCAAAAGAGTTGCCCAGAAAGTCCTGACTGCAGGAACATACAACTCCCACAATCCTCAGCGGCTGTTCAGGTTTCCCAGAGTCCCCCTCACTCCTGATGCTGTAATAACCACACACTGAGCATTCATTTTTATAATTATATATATTATATTTTATATCATTACAATACATAATGCAAAATAAATAATTTTATAATACAGAAATAAAAAATAATAATACTAAATACAAAAAATAATGAAAAGTATCTCTCTTTTCGGTTTGTTTAATTAAGCTTTGAAAGTAAAAGAGAGAAGCTGATTGGTTGCTATGGGCAACCAATCAGTAGTTGCTTGCCATAGTTCCTTACCTTAAGTCAAACACTATCCCTTTATTCTTCTCATTGTCCACCCTGGTTGGAAGAACATCTGCTCCTTTATGTAACTTCAAAGAATAACCTCTCTGTGTAGAATTCCGGGGCCCCCACATCAGGGGAGTGGTGGGTATTGGTGTGTGTCCCTCCACAATAGGAGAGTGGTGGGTATTTAATGTAGGGTTGCCATCTGTCCAGGATTCACCCGGACAGTCCAGGTTTTGGATGCTGTGTCCGGGTTTCATGGCAGCTGGAACCCGGACACAGGCAGACAGGGGCAACCAAAATTAAGATAGGGGTTACTGGCCACCCAATTAAAATAGTCTTTACATTTGAGTAAACCACGACTCATTCTCCCCAAAAGATTTCTGTGTGTCACTAGAGTGTTCGGGTTCTCGATGGAAGAAAAGGTGGCAACCCTAATTTAATGTGTCCCCCACATAATCAGAGTGGTGGGCATTTGCTGTGTCCCCACAACAGGAGAGTGGTGGGTATTTGATGTGTTCAACAAAACGGGAATGTGGTGGGTATTTTCTTCCCCCACACACACAATAGGAGAGTGATGGGTATTCAGACTGGTGGGTATTTGGTGTGTCCCCCCCCCACAATAGGAGAGTGGTGGGTATTTGAGGTGTCTCCACAAAAGCAGAGTGGTGGGTATTTGGTGTGTTCCCCCACAACAGTAGAGTGGAGGGTATTTCATGTGTGTGTCTCCACAACAGGAGAGTAATATGTATTTGGTGTATTCCCCCACAACAGGACAGTGGTGGTAATTTGGTGTGTGTCCCGACAACAGGAGAGTGGTGGGTATTTGGTGTGTGTCCCGACAACAGGAGAGTGGTGGTAATTTGGTGTGTGTCCCGACAACAGGAGAGTGGTGGGTATTTGATGTGTCCCCCACAACAGGACAGTGGTGGGCATTTGGTGTGTTCTCCAGAACAGGGCAGTGGTGGGCATTTGGTGTGTCCCCCACAACAGGACAGTGGTGGGCATTTGGTGTGTTCTCCAGAACAGGGCAGTGGTGGGCATTTTGTGTGTTCTCCAGAACAGGACAGTGGTGGGCATTTGGTGTGTTCTCCAGAACAGGACAGTGGTGGGCATTTGGTGTGTTCTCCAGAACAGGACAGTGGTGGGCATTTGGTGTGTTCTCCAGAACAGGACAGTGGTGGGCATTTGGTGTGTTCTCCAGAACAGGACTGTGGTGGGCATTTGATGTGTCCCCAACAACAGGAGAGTGGTGGGTATTTAGTGTCGGACATTTTATTATATGGTAACAGCCAGGGTGAAATGGCCGGTCTAAATTCAATTTTGCTTTAAGAATAGATCGTAATGTTGAGACTTGAGATCTGGAGGCAGTCATCTCTTTGTGGACACTTAACCCAACACAGGAGACCCCTTCCAATTCATGTTGAATTTTGTTTATTGAAAACTAGTATTTGAAAATATTGTACAAGTCATGTTTTGCACAGACAAAACATAGAAGTCTTCTCAACTGTGTGATCAACTTCTCAACTGTGTGATCAACAAGCTCTAACAGTTCAGGAAGTTGTTAGTAGGAATTTTTCATTTTAATATTGTGACCTCACTAGAAAGCACCAAGCTTAGTTCCATGGGGGTACTCCGACTATTGATGAGAAGATTTTGACCTGGTATGGTGGCCAAGGACCCTTCTGTATGATGACCAGTTGGTGGGACAACATGCATGGAGGACCTGTGGCAAATACAGTTTCTTGGACCTCGTATGAGTTGCTACCTCCCATTCGGTCACCGAGGGGACATGACCACTTGCTGCTCAGGCATCAGGCAATGGGGTCTTTGAAGACCAGCTCAGTTCCTCGTTAGATACTTCTGTTTTTTCTGCAGAACCCTCATCTTACTCTTAGCAATGTTAAAATGTAAAGAACTCCTGTAGAACCTTTTCACATTATAGGAGCTCATTTAACCCGTGTGAGCCTTCAAGGTTCTCTCAAGAAATGTAGGTAAAAATTTAGGTAAGAATTTAGGTAGAAGTTTAGGTAACCACGAACTGCTTTCTATACTTGACTGTTCTGGTCTCCCATATAGTCCGCCATACTTGTTATCACAGTAAAACCATTATTATGCTCGAAACACGGCGACGGCGTCTTCAACAGATGGACCTTCTGATGCCGGCCAACATCGGACTTTTCCGAAAAGCACTTTCCGCATTCGGAACACGCGTATCGCTTCACCCCGGCGTGGATTCTCCGATGCCGGTTGAGATGGGAACTCTGGGTAAAACCTTTCTGGCACTCGGGGCAAGAAAACGGCCGTTCGCCCGTGTGACTCCTTAGGTGCTTAATCAGATCGGTTTTCTTGGAGAAACATTTTCCACATTCCGGGCACCAGAATGCTTTATGAGCTTTGTACATATGGCCATTTGATACAATTTCCATCTCGGTCAGTCTCTGAGGATTAAAGGATTTATTTGATCTAGGCTTTGGTGTAAGGGTGCGTGGTTTCTTGGGTTTAGAGGGCTTTGGTGGCACATTGTGAAGTTCTGGATGGAGATTTTGGGTATCTGTATGGAATTCATCAGAAGAAGAGTCTTTGTGATTCGGGCAAACAAGAGATCCATCGGCATCAAGCAGTCCTGATTGGATATTTGGAGACATGGGACAGTCTTGGGGGATGTAATCATCAAAAGGGTCACAATGTGGTGATGAAATGGAACATTCCTCTGATGGTTTCCTGATGTCATTTCCATCTGTAAAAAAAAAAACACAGAATACATAAACTGTTTCCATGTTTAGATTTGATGATGGCGGGTATAGGTGGACCCTCCATGCTGCTTGTTCCTTTACACGAAGTGAAAATATCTTTTTACCTGGTGATGTGATGGTCTTGTGGTCCTCCATCATGACGTCCTTGTGTTCTTCTAGATACTCCCACTCCTCCATGGAGAAATAGACGGAGACATCCTGACACCTTATAGGAACCTGACACACACAATGATACAGTCACCATCCAGACACATCCCTTGTCTGTCCCTGGATCATGTCCCAGAATTCCCGGCACCGCTCACCTCTCCTGTCAGCAGCTCGATGATCTTCTGGGTGACCTCTAGAATCTTCTTGTCATTGTTCCTCTCATCTGTCAGGGAGGGAAGTGGAGGCTCCATGCTGGGGCTAGGGCTCCTGTTCCGTCCTCCTGGTACATGGTGAGGGCTTCTCGGGGTTGCATGATCTCCAGATGTTTTCACAACTATGTAATCCTGTGTAAAAATACCATTCAGAGACATGAAGTCACCTCTCCAGTCAAGTGTGTGTCTTATGAATAGAGATAAGAGTGATGTCATGTGACCTCCCGGAATCCTCCTCACCTCTCCGGTCAGGTTGTATTTTATGAATAGAGATAAGAGTGATGTCATGTGACCTCACAGAATCCTCCTCACCCCTCCGGTCAGGTCTGTGTCTTATTAATGGAGATAAAAATGATGTCATGTGACCTCCCAGAATCCTCCTCACCTCTCCGGTCAGCAGGTACATGATCTCCAAGGTGAGGTTCAATATCTTCTCAGTCATGTGACTCTCGCCCTTCTTCATTATGGAAAACCCAATAGAGAGGGTCTGATCTTGAGTGAAGAAATCCCTTTCAAGGGGCCTTTTGCAGCTGTAGATAAAAAGCAAAGTTAATGTTCCAGTCCCGATACATATAACGGGATCATTCCTTCTGGAACTGTCCAGCAGGACAGCGAAAAATCCACCGGAAGGCCATTTATGGACTTGAAACCATGGCGGATCTCCACATTTGCTACACCCATTGGACTTGAAACCATTCATAGATTTGACACCATGGCGGGTCTCCATATTTCCTACGCCTATTGGACTTGAAACTACTCATGAACTTGACACCATAGCGGGTCTCCATATTTGCCACACCCATTGGGCTTGACACCATGGTGGGTCTCCAAAAATTGCTACCATTGGCCTCACCTATTTAATCAGAAACCTCAAAATAGACAGGTGGATGCCGTTCTTATGGCACTAGAGCCCCTAGATGGCGCTGATGGGAATAGGAAATACTCATGAGCGCTATCTAGGGGCATGAGTGCCATAAGAACGACATCCACCTGGTAGAACCCCAAAGTTTATATAAACGCGGCAGTGAACTTTTCTTATTTCCTTTCTTCTGGTCTGGTATATATCCCATCAAAAGTCCTTTATTATATCTCTTTGATAAATACAACATATACCAGTTGATCCTGCCAGAAATCTGGTGAGCCAATAACTTCCTGTGTCCTCTGCCGCACTGTTGTCAGTTAGCATTGTTTCCATCTCTTGCTGTGGACTACAGAACAGGGGGATGTTGAGGAGAGGACGTGGTGTTCTGTTGTCCTAGCACACTTTTTGTCCTAGGGTGGCCATGCTGCCCCTCCATAGATACAGGAGGAGCAGCTTTACAGACCCAAAAAGAATACCTACCATTCTGGGGAAAGGCCATCCCTGTGCTCGCCAGGAGTCGCCGCTGACTTGGTGACACTTGACGGTGCCGAACTCTGGGAATTAAGCAGAAAACAACCTTGCCATCAGGTCCGCCCCGCATTGCAAGGGCAGTATTTACCTTGTTCATTGCTATGCCATGCTCCGGGTTGTGGTCAGGTCCTCGCCATCTTCTACAGGGCAGTCCATTGAACTTGCATGCGATCGTCAACCAGGAATGGCTTAGAGAAGAAGCTTTGAGGGACCATCACACAGATGGGGGAAGCATGGCGGAGCGAGGGACGAGGTAAGTATCACACTTTATTTTTTAACCCCTTGA